GCTCTCGCTCCTCCCCCCCCCCCCCCCCCCCTTTAGTTTTCTGCAGGCAGCCTGTATTGGGTGGAACCTGCTGGGTCCCTCCCACGGCTCTGCTCTCTGCACAGCCTATGTGAATCACAGTGATGATGTCACTTCTAGATTTTCTACATTTTCAAGCTAAGATCTTGGTTTACAAAGGCATTTAAGAATATAAATTGGATGTATATTATTTGTGGCTATTGAGGAATATATTTGAATGTAAAATTTTGTTTTATCTCATTTCACGTTATTTTTTTGGCTGGTAATTGAAGATCAAATGACATTTCACTATAACGGTTTCTGTCTTAAACCCCTTAGGTCATTAAGAAGATAATAAACAAAAAGTAATTATGAAGATGTCACTCTGCAGCCCACTGGACTCCCTAGATTTATACCTAAAGTAAACTTTAAAGTGCTAGTGGCTGTAGTGCTACAATCGAGAAATTAAGGGGTATTTTAAGATGCCCCCTCCTGAGCGCTGTAACATAAATTTCAGCATTGGTAGTGCCAAAAGTCCATCAGCCCCTTCTACCTCTCATACATTCCTAATGGCCAGGAAGGATGCCCATCATAGTAACGGGCCAGTAGAGAAGTGCAATAGGTTGGAGGGGGTAGCAAGCTCTCCTCACCACTATGTAGCTGTAAAATGTAAAAGTTGCAAGGTTTAGGATTTCGGCACCTAAGATACATGATAAAGATTTCTTTTTGCATTATCGTAACAGAGCTTTCTCTTGTTTGGTCCCGACTGCTACTGCTGGTTTCTGTGAACCTAACTACTTGGTGGTGTATTGAGGGGAATAAGACATCCAGCATTAGGATTCAATGGTAAATAAGTTTACTTGTCTTAATGTATACATGCTTAGAAAAGTTAGCCATAAAGACCTAATGCATTTAGCAAAAGGAAAATGCCAATAAAATGTATTTATTTACATGCCCTGAGCTAGTTCAAGAGCTGTTGCAGAATTGCACAACATATGGTGTCTTTGCTGCTGCAGGGGATTCTGGGTAGTGACACGTCTTGCCTATTTGCCTCTAAGCACACGGTATAGATGCCTTAAACATATGCCGGATGTTTTAACACTCCTTTTCAAGAGTAATAGAGGAGGCGTGTGCCAACATTCGCTGGCAGAAGATCTTGGCTTGCCATCATCAATCTTCTCTGTTCTTTCCTAGCTACTACATCGTGAATCTGTATGTTTTTTGTGATAAATACATGATAAAAGATATCTTACAAAGATATCACCTATAGGTACAATTTAAAGAAAATATAGTGTGATTTGTACACAATTATTTTCCTATTTATTAAGGCCAGGAGTAAAAAAAAAAATATATATATATATTTTTTATATGTAGTGAATTAAATATGAAATATTGTATATCAGTATTGTGCAATTTTCTAATCAACCAGGAAGTAAATCGCTAGTCTTCTTTTTATATATTCAACTCATTTAGATTTTACTGTGCTGAAAGAAGTCATCATTGATTGAACTCATCCCTAATTAGTAGCAAGTTACAAAAAAGTTATATATAGGGTCTCACAGGTATTAAATCAGAGTCATGCTGTGTACCAATCAATACAGCTATACTAAGTGCCCAATATTTTGGTGGGGCACAACTCATTTTTCTCAAGGCTAGACAGGGATTTTAACATTCCCTACTCTATCCAAAACTCAAAATAAAAGTTTTGGCTTTACACACATTTTAGAGCAGCTCATTCATTTGAATGGGCTGCCATTGCACTGAAAATTGGACTTGCACAATTTTTCATGGTAGCACACCACACCATGTAGTACTGTGATACCAAGCATTGCAGTATGCTGCAGCCCAGGTGCATTGGTTTTGTACATCTGAAAATGATTGGCATTACAACCCACTAATGCATATAGGAAGCATTACTGTAATATGCAGGTGTTACTTCAATGCATAGGTGTGAATGAGCCCTTGCAAGTCCACCTTCAGTTTGTGCCACAAGGTACTACCCCAGTCACCCACAGAAAAAAAGTTTGGCCACGCACTGCAAGCTTACCTGAAAAGATTATTGTAGCACACACATGCACATCATCCTGCCGTGGATCCTCTTCTCTCATAGAGATGATCGTGGTAGTCATGATCTCTATGACTAAGCCCATTATTAGGTGAAACATGTCAGAGTGAAGAGGATCCACGGCAGAATGATGTGTACTTGTTGGTTACAATTAACTTTTAATTGAAGCTTGCGGTGTGTAACCAGACTTTTTTTCTGTGGGTGACTGCTGATGCTAGAGCAAGATGGGCTTGGCCAGTGCACCCACCATTCTCTCTAGTACTGTTGTGAAGGAGCGGTGATATTTGGCTTTGGAAGTTAGAACGTACTAGCC